CCAGTCTTTTAATCATTGTTTGTTAAACAAATGTAGCTAGGTAACTGGATAATCACTGGTAGCAGCTGCTGCCTTCTCTGAAAGAGTGGTTGCTATTGGCAGCCATAATGCTGTGGAGGCTTGTACATTATGGAATGGGCTCACAGTGCACTGACTTGCATACTGAACAATACCCTATATTGCATTTAGGCAATATTGTAGAAATGTTTCCAAAATCTGTATCAGAACATCTGTAGTAACTAGCACGAATACGTACAGCTCACAAATAAATGTTGCATCTACCTGCTGGAGTGCTTTGGGTCTGGACTAGCAAATGCAACAGTCTCTGCATCAGCAAATACATTTCTGACTGAATAGGGGAAAAGGGATATAGCCATGCGAAGCATGTGATGGCCTTTTCATAATAACAATGATAAAATTATTCTATTCATACTCCTCTCACTCTCTGTCTACCAACTTTTCTCTTTGTGCTCCTGAGGGATGCACATCATTCTAATAAACACAGGTTTTCATACATTCCCTTTCTGAGAAAGACCTGCAACAGACAGAGGCAGTGAGAGGGAGAGCTAGAGAGATGAGGACTGTTTATTCAGTCGGATGGTCTACCGTGTGGGGAATAGATTCGGGCTGAAGAGGAAGCTGTCTACACAATGGCAGTTGGCATCAGCAAGTGAGTGAATGATGCTGTGACTAAAATCACTGCCTTGTTCACTCATTCACTTTGCGCTCTACAAGATTGACTGAGGTCAGGAATTTTTTCTCTAAATGTATCTTATTCAAGGCATTTACGGGCTAAATTCATGCCGACATTCAACTCAAGCTATACACCTGGCTGACACAAACTCACACACATTTACTTCCTATTAGTACAGTGAATGGTCTGCGGATCATATCCGGACCAAGTCACAGGGGGGTGATCAGAGAGTGGAGCATCGAACAGAGGTTCTGACCTCCTTGACCCCATAGGTGATTACGGCCATGCACTCTAGTCAGTAGTTTTTTTTAGCTTTTCTAAATGGATCATAGTCCATATGGACAGATGTAGGATTTGCACATTTGTGCAATTCTGCTGAGGCATAACATTACATTTAATTGTGGTAATAGCAATATAACCAAGAGTCTTCACCAATTAATTGCATTTGAGTTGCTCTGAGTGGTAAGAATGAAGACAGTGATCAGCTCAGCTTCTTGACATTTGCTTCATATAGAGAAATGTACATGATATCAAAGCTGAGAGTCTCAGCAACAAAAGATTAAAATTTAAAATAGCTTAATTTGATGCTTGACCTTTTGTCAAGACTGTGTGGGCTGATTATATTTTAATTGACTAACTTTCTGACTCTTTTCACAACTGTGACAACAAGTTGCTGGAAGGCTTTTGCAAACTGTGGCTTTCTAGTGGCTTCTCAATGGCTTTCAACTTAATGTGAGCATGCCACCACGCTCACAGGCAAACAAATGCAATTGGATCCATAGACCAAGTACAGCTGACAGAAATTTTTATCAGCTTTCAGGTAACTTGTCATAAACCAACCACTGCACATGTTAAATTGGGCTAATAATGGTGCTGCAGTAAAAGTAGGGATCTGTACAACATTCACAAGGATCCCTCTAGTCATAGGAAAAAAACACAGTTGTCCTTCACCTCTATTTTATAACACTATATAGTGCACATTTGAACTAAGTAATCCTTTACAGTACATTTAGTGGTCTAGGCAGTGTAGTGATTTTGGACGCAGCCTGATTAAGTGAGTGAGTTAGGGGTTTTGCCTTTCTGTCTCCTCTTTCATAGATCTCATCTTTGCTTTCTTAGATAAATCATCCATTACAAATTATTCTACCAAGCAGCTTGCAATTAAGTCTCAGCGTCTTCCTGTTAGACTCTTTCTTTTTCCCTCAGTCTCCTTCTGCTTCACTTCCTCGTGCCATTCACTTTCAATGTAAAAAAAAAAAAGGTGTGTGTGACTCCACTAGCAGAGCATAGCCCATTATCGTAAATAGGCCAATAAGTAACTTCACACAACGTGTCTCCATAGCAAGCACACTCTATATGCAAAGCAGAGACGCACTGTTGGAGAAACTGGTGCCAAGTGATTATATTTGTAATTTAATTTCCTTGGTCACACAGAGATAAGAGAAGGGAGCGGCTACAGTTGGCCAGGAATGAATAGAGCAACGAGAATGGGACTACAGCTTCATTGTAAAGACCGAGATGTCCATGACGACAACACTCATGAACAAGGGTACCAGAGTGTAGATACACAGGCTAGGAGAGTGTATACTCAATGTCACAGAAACAATGTTAGAAAAGACAAAGAGACTTCTACCATGCAAGAACACCTGCTCTCGCAAATCAAATCGATGGAAGTAAAAGCACAAGAATCAAGAAACTCTTTTTCCCTGATGCAAGCTCTGTCTCACTTCTTTCTGTCAGCAGTCAGCTCCTCTGAACAAATGTAATCAGCAGGGTGGTCTGGGTGGGATGTCGGTCTCAAAGAGCAATGGCTCATTGCAGATTCTACAGGCGAGATGAACTCAGTCCCTGCAAGAAAAGACGACTGAAGGACATAAGGTTTTCTCTCTGTCTCCCTCCCTCTGCTTTTTTTTTCTGAGACTGTAACGCTGCAGACATCAAATATCCCATTTTTTCCCCCCATTTTCAAGAGTGTCCACTTATACTGATGACAATGCAGTGCAAAGGCACATGTGGTCAAGCTCTGATTTTGACTACATGAGAACATTCAGTCCCATAGAGAGAACTGGGAAAAAAGAAAGGTACAAGGTTTGTCATTATCTGACACCTCACATTGCTATACAGAATTCAGGGACAGTGTGAAACTATTGTGTGACACCTCAAATCCTCTCTCCCCCCTTTGTTCTCTCCGCCTCTCATCTCAATGTCTGTCTCTCCCCCTGATGTCTTTTCTTTCTGAGTATTTCCTCAGTGCTTTCACTTTGAACCCGACAGCATTAACCTGTCAGAAAGTTACAAATGTTCTGAGTGAATAATGTAAACCACGGAGAAATAAAACTGGAAGAAAAAAAAAGCACGGACGCCTCGCTTTATTTCATAATTCATCACACTCAAAGATCCAGCCAAATAAAATCTTGACTTATTAAGTAGTCCGGCACATTCTTGCTGAAAATCCTCAGAAATATGCTTGAGAATATTCATCACACTTTGTCTACCTCGCAAATAAAAATCCACAGCACACACACGCACACACGCACGCGCACACGCGCACACGCGCACACGCGCACACACACACGCACACACGCGCACACACACACACACACACACACACACACACACACACACGCAGACATACACAGATGTAGATGTTTTCCCCCCCATGTGTGTGGTTGCATTACTCATCAAATGAGAGCAGTGTCTCACACATTTCACCAGACTCATTGCAAGAGGCAGAGACATAGATGTTACACCAGCACCACCAAAAGGTAAAAAGAAAAACGACAGTTTCTTTTCTCTTTTCCTTCCTTTCCAAAATACAAATTTACAGCGCTGAAAATCAGATTAAGGATGCTTCTTCTTGGCAAGCGGCAAGTTTATTTATTTATCTCACTGAACACAACCACAGACCCACACGAGAGAAGAGAAACACACACTTTCTACTGGGGGGATGGCACACTGGCGGCGCAGCGTAATTAGTAGGACATGGCTGTATAATTGGTCTTTAATTGATATGAAGAGCTGTGGTTGGAGCCAGGTTGTGTTCTACACATGCTGCCGGCCTCAGGCAGGAAACAACGGTGGCCTGCTCAATCTCTGTGCCATCTTCTGATTGATGTCTCTGTAGCAAATGCCCTTCAACAATCAGTACCCGTGATCTCTCTGTGTCTATCAGGCCCCCTGTCTATCTGTGTATAACATCTTCCACCATTCATCTGTCATTTCGCTCTTTGTGCCGAAACATCTTACTATCTCCTTCTTTCCATCTCTGCATTGATTCGGCCTGTCTTTCTCTGAAGGCATTCTCAACCTTTGTCGTGTTTCTCCCAGGATGGGGAAGGAGCAACGTCTGTGTTGGTGGGAGGTGAAAAGTGGAGGATTTGTTAAAAAGACACGGGCAGCCATAAAAGACAGCATGCCTTTAATGGGCCAAACAGCACCTACCGGGGAGAATAAAGCAACTTCAGATGAAAAGGAAATCAATTTTAAAAGGGCTTTTATTTACAAAAGAAAGTGGGTCACCTACTCTCGTCATTTTGCAAATGCTTTAGAGAGGATTCTTTAAAAAATCTGAATTGAGCTTTCAATTCTAAAAAGGTTCAGCGGGACGCGAGAGGTCAACAGACGGAGGGTTGAATGGATTTGAAGCTATTCAGGGGAAGCTCTTTGGAACAATTCTGCTCATGGATTGCGTGCTGATGCAAGACCACCTTCAAGGACATTCCCCTCATTTACACCGCAATTAAGCACTACCCTGTTGGTAAATTGAAAAAGAGACAAAAATCCTCTGTGGATTTAATAACAAACTCATTAACAGGGCCCAACAGGGCGGAACTGCCTTTTAATTAGAGCAACACCTGATTAACGCCCAATTAACAGAGCCAGAGCCACTTAATTCTCCCCCACTTTGGCAGGTTGCGAGCATAAACATAAGCGGTCCAGCGTCAGAGTGCTTCCTCTCCACTGGGAACGTGTGAGAGAAAAGTAAATAACGACTTTGGAGGCAGCCTGTTGTTTGGTGGTCCAAACCCGCTGCAGAGCTGGGGAAAAGTGGGCTGGAAATACATGAGGAGAGTGTTTTGAAAAAAGAGGGAGACAAGCTGGCAAAAAATCTGTTTCATTACACGTGAAATTCCTCGTGGGCTGATGTAGCACAACTGTCCGAGCAGTGAACCGTCAAAACCAAATACGAGCTCCCACATTTGGTTTGTTTTCAGAAGACAGTTTGCCCTTTAAGACAGACATTTTGTCACGGATGTGAACTTTTATTTAGCTATTCTCGTTTGCCTGAAAGACAGACACAAGGATGTTTAGGGATTTCAATTTTATTAAGCTGTTGCCAGCACAAGATAACACATTCAGACTTAGTAGTTACAGCACATGTAGCACATTCTGGTGCACATTTGAGCGCTTATTTGAAATGCAGTAGGAGATACTCTGAATACATGTGTATCACAGTTGTTATGTTTTCCATTACTATTTGGAAATTATGATTTTCTTACATACTATGGTCTAAAGCAGTGGTTCTCAACTAGTGGGTCAAGACATGCATGTTGCTCGAAAATAAAAGTGTCAAAAAGTCTATGAAGAGCTCGGTTTGTCGGTTTTGTTCCTTCTCTTTGTTCTGTCACATATTTCATACCATCTCAGGTCCATCGAGGTGCACTATTTTTCGTTAAATTTATGTGATTGGTTGAAAAAAACAAATCCAAAATTTGGGTCACAAATTTCATGAAGGAGTTGGTGGTGGAGAACCACTGGTCTAAAGTGTCATTTGGTCCTCTAAAAATAAAAAGGAGTTATTGTATATAAAGCACATTGTAGAAATATTCATGTGATATGTACGCATCACTTTTCAGAGTAAGGCATTAGCATTCAGTCACTGTTGTTGGTCTTTAGTGTTTCTCTTTTTTATTTCAGTCCATACTGAGAACAAAATGTAGATCGACCACCCAGATCAGCTCCTCTAAAGCTGGAGCACTCACCCCTTCCTGACTTTTGGGATGTAGGACACTAAACTCCTCACAAAGCACCATTCAGACCAGTCTTACAGGTCTTTAACACTGTGAGGATTTGCTGGTTTCTCATCGAGTCTTAGAGCATTAATGTGCAACTTAGACAGTCACATTTGTTTTCTCTGTCATGTCCACATTTCACCTCTCAAGATCCTGACATTAACCTCTCTTGGGTCATGCTGCACAAGCTGTTACCACGATGAAAACCATCGCTGAAAGAGCGTTTGGCGGCCTTAAGTTGAGAGGAATGATGCCACAACTCCACAGCCTTCTCTAAGTCTGGTAGGATGTCTGGCACGACAGCTTGTTCGGCTATGAAGACAATCCCCTCCACAATCAACAGCAGGACCCATCCTAACGCCCCTAGCCAATAAGAAGAGCCGAGGCCGGAGAAGTCCTGACGGATTTCTTCCTTGTGCTGATGAGTGAAGAAAGACCAGCTGAGGAGGAAGAAGAAACCTGTAGATAAAAGAGGTATATGAATCAACTCAAGAATTATTGTGAAGAAAAGGAAAAAGTAATTAAGGTCAATTATTGTCTGCCTGGAGCTTTAGAAAAGAGTTTTTATGATAATGAACTATAATTCCAAGGGAAGGGTCTCTTTCAAAACTGCTGCCCTGCAGTGTATGCAAATGAGCAGTAAAGAAAAGATCCTCTGGAGGTGTGTGACTTGAACTGCACAAACCAAAAGGCTTTTTAGAGGTTAATTAAAATGGGACTTTATTATTATATTTTAAAACTCCCCAAACCCAAGCTTTAATATCAATAATGTCAAACACAAACTATCTTTTGAAGCTCAGGCCAACAAGTGTTCTACATATTTGATTAATGCAGTAATATTACCTGTGGAGGCCATGGTGAGCAGCAGCAGAGTGGTTGGAAAAAGTGCTTGTCCTGCCATGAGGAGAGAGCGAGTGTTGGAGTAGGAGCGCACCGTCTCAGATGTCCAGCAGAGGGCGAACACCAAGCACAGAGCACCAGTGCTCACTGCCATGAGGAAGGCAACAACTCCAAACACTCTCTCTGCTTCCAATTCTGTGAGATACAAAACCACCATGTAAAACTTATAAACCAGAATGGTTGATGGTCATTTAGGATTTTCCAATATTAGTACTCAGAATGAAGTGAAACACAGTGGGTGGATGACACAATCCTCTGAAAGCCCAAACATTTCCCTTTCTAAAACTGAAACCAGCACAGTTACATCAAGAGGTCATGCACGTTTTAGGTAGTTTCTGTAAAAACAAGACAACTCTGGTAATTCCACACCACATTTGGATCATTCTAAATGTGTGTTAGCCCAATCGTATAACACGTTGAAACACATTAAACACTTACAGAGGACAAATTATTTTGTTAACAATTGCCAAGAGTTGTTTGTAGAGTGTTCTTTTAAACAGTACCAGCCTTTCTCCTTCCAGGGAGATATAAAGAAGATATAAATCAAGAAATCTGTCTCGCTTGCAAATTTAAAGGCATAGCTTTCACAGAGTATAACATCTATAAGGTGCTGGTGGGCGAGTTAAACGTATTGATTCGAGAAAATATTCATATGGGGGCCAAACATTGCTAAAAAAATAAAATCCTTTGAAACGTTAGGCTGTGATTTTTGTAGCTGATCAACAGTTTAAACCAATAGCCTACGTGTGTGGGTAAACAGGAATTGTATAGTTGAGAAAACGTAGGAACAGCAATATGTAGGGTTGAATATTTTCTTAAGTGTACACCAAATTTGATATTGCTTTTAAAAGATATAGAGATATTAAGCTTTTAAAAAGAGGATCAAATATAATTTGAACATTGGCTGTATCTTCTTTTTCGTTTCTTTTTCTAATTTCAGTTTTTCTGTGTTCTCATCTAACACATCTATCAGGTTAGCAGTTTGTTTCTGACTGTAATGCGAGCTGACTGGGGCTAATTTTTTACTACGTGTTGTACATCATAAAGTTTCAATCTATTACTGTTGGACTAATGTGATCTTAACTTTTTTTTACTTCAACTTTTTTTATTATAGGTGTATGTTCACTTGACTTAGCACAATGTTGTACTTCCTATGAGTTGGCTATAATTCTTTCCTCCTGGCATCAGGGACAATGTAACATTAGAAAAGCTAACATAGTCTGAACGTTTAGATTCCATTGTATTAAAATGTCACTGTAATTTTAAAGTACAATTGTAATACTTTATCCTTGATTACTCTCTTTTTTTGTTTCTTTTTTAAACAACTATCATCACATTTGTTGTTTGAGAAAAGCTTCCAATTGACTTAAAATGATAGCAGCTTTCTCCAACTTTTTCAAAAAAGTGCATTAGTTTACTGCTTGTTTATTCAAGGCAGAAGGCTTTTTAGATTCTCTCTTAAAGTGAGTTTGCATGTAAAAATGTAAATGACAGGCTTACACTGAGCCTACTGTTTTGGTCGACAAGAAGTGTAACTGACAAAACTAGATTTCAGCTGAGCAAGAATTCAGCACAGTTTTGTTCAGCCACTTGCAGAAGCAGATCCAAAGAATGCATTGCTCAGGCACCGGCACATGCTCAAACCTGTTTACTTCTGCTCCACCTGGTGTTGAAGACTTAACGCACCCTCAGGCTAATCTCCAGCAGAGTACTTACATTAATGCCTCATTTAAATTGCTTCCCGGCTCACACATTTAATTCCATATTTCATCATTTACATCAGTCTAATCTTAAACCTAACCCTAAAGCCCAGCTTGAGACAGGTGACTCGTGTTGACTGCAAACATGACAAAGAGGATAACACAGCTTGTTGCTCACCATTAAAGACAGTGCCATCTTCACTTTTAGTGTTATTCCACTGCGCCCAGAGTCCCCTCTCATTCAGCCAGAATGGCGTGCAGACTGCATAACACACACACAGGCAACCTGCCAGACCAACACAGGACTGAGAAAACCTGAAGCGACCGATGGCGTCTCCCAGCTCCAGAAACGTCATGTTTGTAAACCACCTGAGAGGGAACAGGAACAACAGGTGAGACAGGGAGAAAATACACAAGACATTATGGTCAATTCAAGTTGAAAACAAGAAAATCTGTCTTAAAATAAATCTTCTAAATCCTTTTAAAGTGTGGACTATTTGAAATGTAATTTTACCTTTGTTGTTGTAGGGAGCGGAGAGGTCTCAGGGACGATCTTTGTTTGGTAGGTGTCTGCAGGACCACAGTTACACTACAGGAACTACTCGTGTTCACTGCTGTAATAAAGAGTTTGAACAGCCTGACGCGTTTGTACTCTTACTACTCGTGACCACAAGCCCTCACTCGCAGAGCAAACCCTTTCAGTGTTTCTCCTCCTCTGCTGTAATGGAAATTCCCCCAGCCAGCGGCCAAATTTCCCCGTGAATTCTCCACTGTAGCCCACCAGCTCATGCCGGGGGGAAAGTGAAAGCAACAACAACAATTTCCCTTTCAGTGTATGAGGAAGCAGAAGATTGTCTGTTAAAATAAAACAAGAGAGATACTCTGAAATCAAACCAAGGGCCTGTGTGTGTTTGGGTATCTAGGGTTGATTGTCTTTCTGCAGGGCTATATGTAAGTTTAAAGGAAATCCCACTGTCATAATACACAGTGAGGCCTCATGTACTGTGGTTGTTGATGGTTCAACCTCCGTCAACACTCCTCCTCTTTACCTCCCCCTTCAATTTCCTTTGTTGCAATGGAACAGCTCTCAAAGCCCACCGACAGCACGTTATTTGTAATGTCACAGAGGGCAAACTAAGATGGAACTATTCTGAAATAATAGAGAATAAAACATTATATTAACAAATAGCTGTGAATAAAGGGATCGTCAAGAGATCTATAACCGGATGATAAAGATTAACTCTAAATAATAAAGATTAGTCACAAAACACTTCTATAATACATCATTTTATTCACAGATCCTTCATTTTAAAGAAATATCAACATTATGATAAAGTGCCTATGGCCAAATCATGAAGATATTCAATTCAGATTAAAAGACTTCAAATGTATAAGAATAGAACATAAAATACTTTTTGGCTGATTTGACATTCACTGAAAATATGACAAAATAAATATGTATCTTTTGAATCTTTTCCCCCCCGAAAAAACAAATAAAGGTAAGGTTTACCTCGCATAGCAGCTAAGAAATAAGGCCCCGAGATAAAGATTGCTACTTTTTCCTGTTCTTGCCTGCTTCACTTTTCTCCTTCTCATTAGCCTCCACTCATCGAGTTCCTCCTCTTCACTCAGAAACAGGCATCAGATTTGACCCTGTGTCGGGTGTTTGTATCAAGCTCTTCACAATGAATGGGGGGGAAGATGCTGGAAGCCGAAGTGCTGCCTCTTGAGATTTGGCAGCTACATTCATGTCTGTTTGTCCTGAGCTTACTTTTTGGCTCTCTGCAGCAGGGCCTTGAATACATCAAGAATCTCCGGGTCCTCCCCGGCAGATAGCTCTGGAGTGTTTTTCTCCAGCCAATCGGAGGAGCGGATCTGGTGCCTGAGAGTACCAATCAGAGAGTCCAGACCCTCTTCAGGCTTTGATGCTTGGCAGTCCAGCAACACAATCTCCTCACTGGCCAGTGAGGCTGTGTCAGAGACAGGACGGTCCATCTCCTTCAGCTGGTCAGATGACTTGCGCTGGGGCGATGATGTCGAATTCACAATCGCAGCATTGTCTAAATCTGCTCGGTCCTCTTCCACTGAATTTATCCTCCTGTTACTCGCTTCTTTGGTAAAGTTGGAATCAGAGCTGGTGCTTTTATCTTCAATTTCTTTCAAAGCCTCCTTAAATCGCTTCAGGCCTGAAAGAACACAAAACATTGTCAGATAAAGTCATCAACTGTTATCTGATCAATACAGAGATTATGACACAAATGTGGAGATGAGCTGAATAAACACAAAACATTGACTGGACAAATGTAGAATTAGATATTGTCTAATCAAGTGTATTTTAAGTCAGGAAGCTGGAATTAGAAGGATTGAATACCTAAAAAAATATTATTTCAATAAATGAATTTGATGGCGATGGTTTGAACAATTCAGTGGGTATAAAAAGTCCAAAACAAATGCTGCACACAGTATGATGTTCTGTATCACACACTACATACTAACCAAGCTGAAGGTGGTGCAGCTGGTTTGCAAAGACTAAGCGGAACCAGCCGGGCGTCGAGCAGAAGAAGGCCTGACCACAGCTCATGAGCAGCTTGTGTCTGAGGAATCTCCCCCACAGAGAAAGCTCCTCCTCAGACGACGACTCTGTGAGGTACTAACCAAAACAGAGAGACAGAAGTGACACATCAAGCCTCAGGGAATGCTGTCAGGAAAAAAAATGATGAGGAGTTACAGGCAATCATTTAGCAGGGCCAAACATCTTAGCGAACCTTTCTGAGGTCGAACCACACATACAGTGTGGCAGGCCAGTCCAGGTAGGGGATGCCCATACTCTGCATTTCACCCGTCACGTATCTGTGAGCAGCTTTCAGTCTGCGCCTGTTCTCTGGCAAAAACTCCTCGTCGATCCAGCCTAGAACACGAGAGTGACGAGAGATGAAAGGTGAGTGTACATGGAAGGTTAAATCAAGCCCATAATGTGCTCATGTCATACAGAGGAGAGTAAGAAAAAGAGGAGTGCTTCTCGAAAACAAGGAAATGGCCAGTTAAAACTGTAAAGAATAGCATTTAATAGTTCTAACTCAATCAGGACAATTGCTCAACATGTGGACTGATGTGGATTCATTTAGACTCATGTTTAATATTATATGCTTGCTAACATTCATTCACTGTTGGAACTTCGGTTGTTTAACCGAAAAGTTGCAATTACTTTTCTACTTTGCTTACTTTTGTTTGTTTTCTCAATGTTCCAAAATTGCTTCAATCGGTTCTCTTTTTTATAGGAACTGTTTCTTTGCATTTAACCTTCATACATTTGATATTTAGTTATACACTTTGGGCCTGAATCACAAAAGGATTGTGCTGCCTGTACTAAAAAGTCCAACATGCAAAGGGTTAAGCGCACCCTTAAGTGCACTGCAGATCAAGCAGCGTTTCTGTGTGCCAGCGCTGTATTGTATTGTATTGTATATAAATGAGCCATTATGTTATTTTGGAAAAGGCACCTTTCTGTGCAAATCAGCCTAAATACGAAAAGCGTCTCATTCATAAACACAGGTGCTCCAAGCAGAGTAAAGGTGCAGACAGCTTCTCTCCATATTCATTCTCCATATTGGTGCAATCTGGCACTACAATTTCCTTCAGGATGAATGAATTCTATCTTATCTGCTGATTTTGGCTGGCGTTTGATGCAAGGACTTTGATTTTAATACAATGTGTTTGCAGAAAAACATGTGAAGTGTCATCCATACCTCTGTCCCCAAGCAGCTGTGCTACCTGGTGCTGAGTTGTTCCGGGGACACTATGAAACAGACCCAGCTGGGTCAAAGCCTCCACCAGGTCTCTGTTCTCAGTGTACAGAGTGCCTACTCTCATTCCTGACATTGCAAAGTCCTAGAAAGACAGAGAGAATGTATAGTATCTATGAGAGAAAAAAACTACCACTGTAGAAACGCTGGGATTTGGCTGCACTTTAAGATATATATATATAATAAAACCCAAAAGTCTCACAGAGACCATACACACCTTGCTCATCCCCCAAATTACATGCGTCCTCTGCGGGTCAGGCAAACTGAAAAAAAGAAAAAAGACTATATCATTATCAGGTGAGAGGCTGTCTTCTGCCACAAATGTTTAGATTAAGGGGTCAGAAAGAGCTGTAATGCAGAGGTTTGGTTCAAAAAGTACCTGTCTAGACTGAGGACACTTTGAAAGGTGAGAGATTCATCGAAGACTGTCAACATGTACACTTCATCGATGATGGCGTGGAGCTCATTGCTAAAGCGGGAAATAAGAGGAGAGGGAGGATAAGACAGTTTAGAGCTGATAAGCGAGACTGTGACAGTGTTTTTTGATTATTTAATGTCAGTGCAGCAAATCATTTACAGAGTCTCTGTGGAACATGGCTGCACTTGACAATATGCTGATGGTTAGAAGAGGTGCTAAAACTCCATCATGGGCGCATGAAATTCCACACACTGGAAAGAGCTCCTTTTCATCAAATGTGTTCACACTAAGAAATGTATGCAGGGCTATCAGAGTGTGTCTATGGAAGCCACGGAGCGCAAACAGGCAGCATTACAGTGTTAGGCCTCCGGTGTGGGATGAACATACGTTTTGGCAAACTCCAAGAAGGCAATCATCTCCTCGGCGGGGTAGATCTCAGCCAAAGGGTTGTGGGGGTTCATCAGCAAAACAGCTCTGATGTTCACCCCCTAATAAAGACAAACCATCTTTTAAGTGCACGTATACTGAGCTCCTGTATCTTCACAGTGTTCAGACAGATGAAGAAAGATAAGTCTGAATTACACATCACAGAGATAAATAGAGCAACCAAGGCATTTATCTATTTAAGGAACTTTGCCAAAGGATGCTTTGAGTGCTTTGGCCTCTTTTTATATGTATTTAAAAGAATCACCTCGTGCTTCGCCTTTTTCAGACCTTCTTCTAGCTTTTCTACAGTAAGGTGGAAGGGTCGGCTGTCTTTTTCATCAGCCTATACAAAAAAAAAAAAAAAATGAGATGAACAGTCATTACAAACATTCAAACAACTCCAACACACCTTCATGCGTGAGAGTGTCAAGGTTGTGTTGATGTAACACATTAGGGAGCACACAGGCTCTGCGGTCCTACCTCACAGTCGAGAGGAACATGAAAGAGTTTTACGCCACTGTAAAAAAGGACATCCTCGGTGATAGAGCCGTAGAAGGGAGTGGCAATGAGAATGGCATCTGCGACATGAAAAAAACACAAAAAAAAATCACATGAATCATCCCGATGCATCCCAGATATTGTTGGGCCTTTTCACCTTTCATGGATAGGACAGCTGTAGAGAGACAGGAAATGTTGGCAGGAGAGAGTGGGGGATGACCTGCAGCAAAGGGCTGAGGTCGGATTCTAACCCACAGCCGCTGCAACAAGGACTATAGCCTCTGTACATGGGGTGCGCAACATAACCGCTAGGCTTCCAGCGCCCCACATGCACACTCTTTCTTTTGTACAAATGCATACATACAAACCTAAAGATTAATGACGCAGCAATCACTTTTTAATTTGTTGTTTCATTGTGTTATATTCAAAAAGTTTTCCATTGATCTATGGTCCAGCTAGTTTGAAGCTTTCAGCTTTGTTTTCTGCTCTTCATTTTTAGGATATGATATTATAAGTTACTCTGAGAACAAAGATGATAAGGGTCCTAAATATATCATTAACTAAATGGCTTTACCAGCAGATAATTTCTACAAGCTATATCTCTGTTTAAATCTCTCTCTTCAGAAACCAAGAAATAAGTACTGAAACCTCTGACTAAGAACGTTTCATTTGTGGATATTCTGTATACCCTGCTTCCTTTTTACTTCCTTTTCTATTTTTCCCCTTTATATAATTATATAGCCATAATTTGAACCTTTACGACTCATCATTTCTCGTAGCAGTCACATTGCAGTTGTTTTTGCTGTCTCTAATTCCCCTGTGTTTGTACAGTAAGCTTCTCTTTTGTGAGTGAAGAAATACACATTAATTAGATAAATGAAAAGTGTCACCCTTATGAGCTACTACTTCGGTTATTTGTGTTCTTTTTTGTCGCTGGGTTGGAAGCTAATTAGACTCAAATGACTCAAATGTACTTATCTAAATTTGTCAGGCATATTTGCACAAATGAATAGCTTACAATGTTTGATGAAAGTTGGCAGCGAAAAAAAAAAAAGAATGCTGCTTTGTAAGATAGTTATTGAGCAAAACAAACATAATTACGTTAGGCTACTAAAAATGTGGCCTGGCTTGCAGTGGCATTAAATACTTAGAAAGTTAATGTAGCTGCATGAATAGTTGTGTTTATATAAATATGAATAATTCACAATACTGAACAGACAAAAAGCCGAGCAATACTTCCTATTCACACCTTTGAATTCATGCAGTATCGATAGGCATGTGTTGTTCGTGTGTGAACCTACCTTGAGGGTCACAAATTACTGCTCCAATACACGAGAACAGAGAAGTACAGCCATTCATCACCACAACCTGAGAAAAAGAAGAAAAAAAAACACACATCAACTGTGTTATAAAAGACCCAATTAAGGCAGAGAAAGAGGCTGATAAATAAGCTACAAATTCATCCACCCACAGGAACAGCCATTTGTTACACAGGCAAATTAAGGTGGTCACTTTATGAAGAAAAAAAACCCATCTTAGTTCATTCGCAGTATTTGGCCTTTTTATAATCATTACAGTGTAAATCATGTAACTTCATTTACTCTGTTGCTGTCATCTTTGAAAATGGATGGTTGTAATCCAAACTGCGCAGCAGCAGTATAATACATCACAATAGAAGACTTTTTCTATTCCAGGACTGTGTATCAGTCATTTGAATTAGCATTCTTAACACAAATCAGAGAAATCCACAATGAGTTAAAGTACAGAAGCGCCAATCAAAAAGGGGAGGAAACTGTATGTTTACTGGTGGATATGTATGTAACTATACTACCCATAAAGAAGCAAGACAATCATGTCAGAGCAGTCGACTAAGTTTATTGTACTCTAATCTTCTTGTGTTATGTGGTTTTATGTAACTGAACTTTTACACTGTATATTTAAAGGCCCAACATGGGACAAGGGCTGGAAAATAAGCAAAAGCTATCAACTCTCTGTTCGACCAATCACTTTCATGCTCTGTTTCTGAACCAATGTAAAATTACATCGTCCATATCAAATAAAATGCATTTAATTCAATACTAAGTGAAAGTCCTGGATGTCATTTAGAGTCACAAGAAGAGAATGAAATGTAAATGTTTAGTGTAATCTAATTATTAAAACCATACTTGTTACAAGTATCAGAGTGTGACGCTGTTTGTACTCCAGCAGGGATCATAAGGCTCATCTCGGATGAGTCTCGGAGTTTGGTATTTCATTTCACCTGTAGGGTTCTGTCTTGAAAAATCATGAATAAAAGACTTAAATCATTAATGCAAAGTTGCCACTATCTATCTAGTCATGATATCATTCATGTTGTACAAAGTATGCCTCACTGTGCTTCTAGTGGGGTACGTGTTGTCACATTACAGTAGTATTTGTCTTACACTTTAAAAATCTTCACTTACGTTGTCAGCTGTCAGTGGCTTTGGAGAACAGCAGTAGTGAGTCAGGAACCCGGCAACCTCCTGTCTCAGGCTAATAAGAGCAGAGAGGAAAACATTTTACGAGGGTTAATGTTTAATAACAAAGGTTTGGTTTGAATAGATGTGAATGTGCTCCTCATAAAATGAAAACATAGCTTACAATAAGTGTCCCCTTTGGTCTGCATACTGCAGCAGGGATGGCTCAACATGAAGCATGTCAGGCTTGGTCATCTGTTGCAGAGAATAATATGAATTTCTTTGTGAATGCAAGCAAAGTTAGGTTGTAAAAAGGTTTACATATATAACCTTTTACAGAATTACCTCAATCAGTGTTTATCTTACCCGTTTATGAAGAACATCATTGCATAATTTGTTCTCACTGGTGCCCAGGTTTATAATCCCCTAAGAGTGAGGAAAAATAGTACACACATATAAATCAGTTTAATGACTTTATATGCGATTTTTTTGATCCAGCAGATGTCGCCCTTGAGCACCAGCATGAAACCAAAACAACTTGCGGTGCATTGTTGTGTTAGCATGCTAATGCTAGCGATCTTTATTATACTCTTATCTTCACACTGCATATAAATTTACCTGAAATGAGCGTGATCTAGAAACACAGTTAAGCAGTGAGTACAGTATGTTATTCTTCTTTTCTCTAGTCCCTCAATTAAACAACTTTTATACACGAGGGGAGGAGTCAGCCGCAGTAAACAAACTAAAAATAGAACTCTGAAAACATCACAGACAGTGGGACTCGGGTGTTACACCCATTGTAGACAGTCATGACTCACAGAGTATTTATATACTTGATTTATATTACATTTAAGTGTGAAAAATCGCATATAAAGCCTTTAAGTGTAATTTTTGGACACATTCAACCTGTTTAAAGTTATTTACTGCATGACTCAGACTCACATCAGGGTTATCTGTGTCGTGGTGTTTGTCCATTCCATATCGACAAAATCCTTCATATAGAATGTTGTGATTCTGCCGGATGCTGTTTCCACGGTTGGACAGGTACACACTACGTCCAGGTGTTTTGTGAACTTTCTCTACAGTCAAGTCACTCTGAGACATTTTGCAGGCCTTCACAGATGTCGGCAGTGTTGATTTGACTGTGTCCTGAGTGGGAGCAGGATGTGATGTGGCAGTTTGTGAAGGTGGATGAGATATAAAAGAGGAGACAGAGGGGGTGGTCACCATGGACGCTGACGGATGAGCGACGGGTGAGAGGGAGGGGTCAGTCGGTGTTGCGGCACTCTGCCTGACAGCAGCCAATGCCCCTGTGATCATGCTAAACAGGCGGAGTTCATGCTGGCGCTCCTGCTCTGCCCTTCGGTCCTCCCTCTGCTCCCTGCGCTCCTCTGCCTCAAACTCTCTCTCCAGCCGCGCCTCCTCCAGGGAGAGGAGGCGTTCCTCTGCTGATTGCTGCCAGTTCAAGAAGCTGGCCAGGGCTTTATCTAGACGGCCCTGACTGCCACATCTAGCGCCGTGGCCCCAAGATGTTCTGCCACCCAGGGGACGCTTCCTCTGTCTCACAGAGGAGGGGCGGTGAGGATCCTTCTTATTGAGCTGCTCAGATCGGTCCTCTGTCATTGGACCCCTAACAGCCTGGGTGGCAGCTGTGGCAGAGCCAGCAATGTTCAGGTCACTGAAACCTAGGGGAAATGAACAGAGAGATCACAACATTTCACTTTCTTACTATGTTAATTATACAGATACGGTGTTATTTATTTTGCCCTGACTCATGTGAGTCAGGTTTTTTTTAAATACTGAACTCTACCTTTCAAGTTTTTTTACTATGGTTTTGTGACATTCAAAATATAAATGATCCAACAATCACTTTATAATTTGTAAAATTGTTATCATGGGCCATGGTGTAGTATCATATCATAAGTCACCCTGTGATTAACACCACTAACACTGATATTACCGGTAATGACAGTATTTGTGATAGTATTTGCATTGACAACCTGAAGGCGAGATTCTTGCATTTGTTGAGTGGTCTCTTGGAACCAGATTGTTCTCCGCATCCAGCAGAGAATGCCCATCAGTTTCCTGGTCATCTCCAGAACCATAATACATCTCGGGTGGTGCAACACCTGAGTTCAGCATACTGTCATCAACATCCTCACATTTGATATCCCCAGGTTTTGGAGGCAGTCCAAACAGAAATCCTCCTGAGGAGGCAGGGCCAAAGGTGTCGGGTGGAGCCCCTTGAGCGTACGCGTCAGGACCGCCCGGGGTGGGAAACACCTGTTGAGCTATGACAGCACCACCCAAAGAGGAGTAGGTGATGGCGGGTCGGTTAGCCAGCACCCTGTCCATGACGTCAAAGAACTTCCAGGTTTTTATTTTGTAGTTGTCCTTAATGCGACGGTACTCCAGCTTCATCTTTTTGATCTTCTCCCTGCATTGGTCACCGGTACGATAGATGCCCTTTTCGCGCAGGATGTTGGCTATACGGTCAAAGACACGCTGGTTGCGCAACGAGCTCTCCAGTTCAATCTGGATGGACTCGTCGGACCACAGCTGGAGCAGCTCCACTATCTCCGGGTCGGTCCAGTTGCTGCCTCGCTCGTGTCTCCGGCCGCGGAAGTCCATCCTTTAAGTAACACGACGTGAACACAGGACGAGGGGATGGAAATACCAACAAAAAAGATTCACCTCCAAACTTCAGACAAGCAGAGAAACGACAGGGCATTGACTCGTGCTTACATGTATTTGACTAGTTTATGTGAACAGTACATATTTGAACATCATTTTACCCACTTCTGTTCTCCGTTTGTTGTCCAGCTGTCACTCAGATGTGATACGAGTAGTCACATGACATGTGGCTCAGTGGCTGGCTAACCCGGTTTGGACTGGTTTGGAACTGCAGAGCTTGGTGCAGTCGGGACTAAAATCTAGAAGACGTTCTCAAAAGCTCACTGTGTTCACTTGGTTGAACTGGGGAATACGGGAAGACGCTTACACATATATCTACATCCGGGTTGACGGCACATGCGTGCTGTCCTTATTCCGGGATAACTTTGGTCCGTGCTAAAGGGGGGGGGGGGGTTGGCAGGGGTAGACCCAGCCGTGCGAGTCAGAATCAAAGTGAGAGCTACGTGAATTGTCCCCCTCTACCGTACGAAGTGGTGTCTTACCGGGATATGTACGTTTCTGTGATAGCCACAGGATGGCGCTCGCACACAGCGGTACAGATAAGGCTCAGTTGGTAGAGTCGTCGCCTCTCTACCGAAAGGTCGAGGGTTCGATCCCCAGCTGAGCAACATGTCCGACGTGTCCTTGGGCAAGACACCTAACCCTGCATTGCTCTCGCTGCCACTGTGTATGAATGGTGGTGTACACCGCTTTGGATGAAAGTGTCTGCTGAGTGAATTGTAACGAGCCTGGAAAGCAAAGATGCATGTTTTGTGTACAGGCGTGCCCCGGTATTATTTGTTACGAGAATAATAATAAAATTAGCTTGAAACAATTACATAAAAACATAATTTAGAGAGAGGTAAAGCTTCTTTTCATGCCACTTTAAAACATATATCGAGGGTTTGGTTCCACATATTATGTACTTATGTGTTTACTTTAAGTTGTTATACTTAGTGGTTTTTATAGTTTTAAGATTATGCCACAAACACACGCATTGCACCAGCTAAATGTTTACATGTTAAAACCTTACACCACAATGGCGAAAATTGTATTTCATGTTTTTGGTTGGTCATTGGAGGTTATTGTTATATAGAAACAGTTACCCGCCCTTGTCAGCGGCCAAGGTGAAGCGAATCAAGCGCACACAGATATTCCAGTCGGCTGTAATTGTGACGTATTTCCTGGAGAAAAGGAGGATTTGTGGCAGTTTGTTGTCATCTCCATCCAGTAGTGAACCGCTTTAGTGTAAAGGCACGTAGCCCGTTATCTCATCTTTTTCTGCTTTTCGTGTGCTTAAGATGTAATATCAACTCGTGTAAAAGCAGCGACAATGAACTGAGACTGCTTGAAGTAACCGGGAGACCGAAATACGTGAAGTTAACAGGCAAATTATAACCATGGTGACGGTGGAGCCAAGTTGGGGGCGGATTCCACACAAGACGAGTTAGTTGAATTCAGCACTTTACGAGAAGGATGGGTGTGTGCGGGTGACATTTCTACTCATCTCCTGGACCGAGAAGAAGGTGTGCAGCGTCAGGTGGTAGATGTAAAAGTTGCAAGTGGAGCCGCAGGAGAAAGGGGGAGTCTCCGCCCGCCCGGAGGGTAAGCAGAAAGAGGATGAGGAGGCATGACGTCTCGCTTCTTGTTGGCGTCTTCGTTGTTGTAAAAGCATCCAAGAGTTTAGTTGGATGTGTTCAAAGCAGGCAGGGCAGAAGTGGCAGAGTGGGTGGGAACAATGGGAGTATTTTCTGAAAGCGCGACGGCTGTTTCACCATAACGACTCTCATGCCAGCGCTGCCTACACTTAGCACCAGTCCTCCCAGTCAGGAAAACCCTTCCCCGGGTCTCGACAACAGGATTTCTCCATACATTAAACCAGGACCCACATTGGTTGAAGGAGACATGACTTGATGATGATCCAGCTTTCCCTGGCAGCGCTTCCTTTCTGAAGTTAATTGTTGGTAAGATAACAGCATGGTTTTTCTTCTTTTTTATTATCTTATTATTGTTGTTGTTTCTTGCACTCATGGATATCTCATCTGACTCTTTTTTGTATAGAAAATGTGTTTTGCTTTCTTCCTTTTATCTGTGTGTACCCCTGTCTAATAACCCCCCCCATCTAGGGCTTTTGGTGGTAAAATGCAAAGCTGAAGCATGTTTCATAAAGTCATCTCAGGCAAGGCATATGTTTAACACCTTTCTACTCACTAATTCTCTTCCGACTGGCATGACATCTGTGTGACTATTTTAAGTCAAGCAAAGCAAGCTCAGTTTGGACCAACAGGGTGGAAAAGTTGAGGTGATCCAACTCATCCTGCTTTGTCGTCTGGTTGCCAGTGTTATTTTTTTTTACATCTAGCACAACTCTCACTGGGAGGAAGCCAAGGTCACCAGCTATTGAGGCAAACAGCTTCTTCCTCAATCGGATTACCTCACCACATCAAAGATCTGCCGATTGAACTAATCTTTTGGACCTTTGTGTTCGGCTGAAATCGTGCCATGGCCAGTTAAGAGATCAAAGCTATTTAAAGGGTTGGTCCAGCGTTATGTTTATGTCACCAGAGGAAGCTACTGTAGGCTGAGCGGTTCGCATATACCCTTTGCCCCAGACATCACCTTTCAAGCTCCTTTGATTCGTCACCCGTTCTGGTTTTAACAATACAACAGTTGACGATTTCCACATTTTGAAAGAAGCATGTAATAGGATTGCGGCGGAGAATAAAAGAAGGAGGAAGACAAACTTGTCAAACAATATAACTCATCTATAAACTAGGGCAGAGAGAGGAAGTTTGACACGGGGAAAAATGCCAAGATTCAGATGGCTGTTAAAAACTAGGCTGGATGTCTCTGTGGGACATCACTTAGAGAATTGATTCTTCCTCCTGGACACATTGCTGCTGCCCTAGACAACATTTTATCAAGCTTTTCTATCTCCGCAGCTCGTAGGTTGCGGGAGCAAAGATAGATGAGGGTTTAGTGCTACTCAGTCACGGTGTCCTCGCTCTCTCTCTCTCTCACTTCGCAGTGCCCCTCGCATGATGCCTGTGCAACGTCTTTGGTTTTCTAATCCCGCTCTAACTTGGTGCAAATTATCTTCTCAGGAGAGGATGCTTGGCTGTCAGCGGTGCTTTACAAATGCTGCAGTTCTCTCCTGAGCCTGTTTTTTTTTTTTCTATGAGAGGGCAGCTCAGAGCACATGGTGGGTGTTGATTTGGCTGGTGGGCAGCCTGAAATAGAGCTGGAGTGCTGCGTATGGTCTGTCACAGCTTTTCATGCTTGTCATTAGCAATGGAGAATGCCTGCTCATCCCTATCAAGAGCAGATCCATTATACTGTCAGAGATGTAGTCAAAGTGAACTTAACAAAAATATACTTTTAGTCGGATACATCATATTTCTCAAGAGTGGACATGTTGATGTATCACCCCGGGCTCTTGCTGCTGCTGCTGTTCACTGAGCAGTTTCTCTGCTGCAGCTGGGGTCAAGTGTTTTTTCAGGTCACACACATTTTCCAAGTGGAAAGGAAAATGGGCAACTTTCTGCTCTCAAATCCAATTCCCTTAGTTTCAACTCTTTGCAGGCAGACGAAGAGGTTTTATAAGAGGTAGCTCTGGACCTGAGCGTAAACTTGGAGCTAAAATGGAGCTATCCTTATGTGCCTGACTCGGGGTCATGATGTTGATAATAAAATAATGTTATCAGCTAAACTGTTGATAACAAAAGTGTTAGTAATGGCCCTAGGAGATAACTTCCCGTTAACTATTTGATTAGGCTATGACAGATGTGTTTTTGTAACCAATTCCAATGCTCATATCTTTTAGGTTTAAAAGAGGGGCGTGTGTTCGGCTTAAATTCATTTTTATATTTAGAATCTTTGGCAAGGATCTCTCAGATATGTTATTGAGTGATTTGTGACATGTTGTCAACAGCAACCAGATGTTTAAGAGTTAAACAGAATTCTTAATAAGCTACATGGTCGACCAAATACAAGATATGAAGAAAAATTATGTTTTTTGAAAAATTATTTGTTATATTTTATTGTAATTATTAGAATTAATAATACTTACAATGATGATGAATGAAAATCAAAACCATCATGAATAAAGTATTTTTTCCTGCAGCATAGAAAGTGTTCTTTAATTTACGTTGAAAGCCCCCCTCGCCCCCTTTTATTATTTTTTGGGGAGCTATAGCTGTAATAAAATGTACTTTTTGCAAAAAGCTAATATTTGCTAATATTTCCTGTAGATTTATATTCAGGATGCATCTGAAGCTTAGGATACAAGTGAAGTCCAGCCTGTCAGATATGTAGAAGACAACATGCTGATACATTATTCATGTTGGTATTGCTGTATTTGAAACCCCACCACCACCCTCCACCCCCCAGATCTATCTAACCCTTCCTCAGTTCTCTGCTGTCTCGCTTGTTACACGTCTTTACAGCTCGTGTTGCTCAAAGCAAAGAGAGTCAGTAGAGCATCCAGCAGAGTAGAGGCTGTTGCCCCAGGGCTCCAAGCTGATATCAAGACAATAATAAAAGCACAGTGTTGAGGGGATAGTGAGTGGGCGTTGCAGGACAGGAATTACTCTGAAGTTCGTCTGTACAACACAGTCTTGTCCTGTTGGCCACGGGGCAGCTCCACTGGTGTACTTTGAGTGACGGAGTGTGCTCCTTAAGTGCACCTGAGCTTTTGTTTGTGAAGCAGAGGTGAGGTTTGCTCATTATGAATTTTCCAGACAGAACGTCGAGGCAGAGAGTTTTCAGAGGTTTCAACCTGTTTTTAATGCTGCTTCTGGTCCTCTTCCCATAATTAAGAGATTGCTTTTTGAAGAGCAGGAGTCTTTGATTCCAATTTCTCACCATCCGTATCACAACTAGATGCTGAGCTAAACTTGGAGTTCTGTCAATAGTGCGAAACAGAAGGTGCTAAATTAATAATTTAAGGCTGTCGTGTTATTTTAGCATACAGCAGGTCACATTTTGACTCACTTGAGAGTGGTACTGATCCTCAGAGGTTATGCAACTGATTTTTTTTGTTTTCATTGTAGTCGAGATTCTAAACTCTTAAGTTTCCTCCTTTTCTAAGTAGAAGTTTTAGGCCTTTGATGTATAATGTAAGAGTAAGCAGCTTCTTCTTAACTCCACTCTAGGCTTTGTTTTCAGACAAGGTGTTTTGGGTGTCATGTTCTTATGTGCTCGTTATTTTCCCCACCGCTGTACTATGGCGGAGAGACCGCCCACACACACACACACACACCCACACATACACACTCTTTCTCATTTTCTTCCTCCCCATACTCCTCCCTATCTCAGCCCTCTAAGTGA